GCGGTGTTTATTTGTTATTTATCTCCGAACGGTCGCAAAGCCATTCCTGTAGTATAAATTGTACAAAGTAGCATACAGAAAAACAAGTTTCGACTTCACCATCTCAGAGAATTAGCGTTACGATCTCAGCGACCCGAGAAGTTCGAAAGCGTCGAACTTAGCGAATTATAACCGATCTTAGCTTTGCCAATAGGCCTGACTCGTCGAGTGAATTAGCTCCGCCATCGATTAAATTAGCTCCGGTGCGTCTCACATAGCGAAATAAAATTAACCAAGTTTCGCTAGCAATTTCTACTCCCGTGGGCCCAAACCTACACTCGGTTTCGTGGTTTGCGACTTTGTCTGCGATTTTCCGGAGATAAATACTCCGGAGCGTCCCTTGGTGTTTGTTTCAGGCGTCAAGGTTTTGTTTTATTTTTCTAGGTCTTCCTACAGACTACCCTAAGGCGTCTTACTCCTCCTTTCCCCCTCGAACTATTAAATACCCTTCAGTTGTCTCGGACCGCCTTCACCCATATCACGGGGTTTAGGTTTATTCCTTTTGGTCCTTGGTGATTGTTGTGTGTCAGTGCATATCAGCGTGTTCTGGAAGCTTTGGCTTGTCAGTTTGATTCATAGATACTAAATTAGGCAGTTATATTACCCAATATAGTGATTACATAATTGGTATTATGTTAGCTGGCAAGATTGGAGGTGCCCAAAATTATAACTCCTTCAATTTTGCAGCCCTTTGCAGATTGATGGGCCCACTTTTCAAAAATCATTTACAGTCGGACCACATCGGACAAGCAATTGTGAGTCCCCGAGAGACGGAAATCAGACCATCTGGACTTCCCCACCTTCCTCCGACGTCCCTGGCACCCACTCCGACCCACTCCGACTGTACGCGATTTTCTGAATTGGTGGTCTATCAATCTGCAAACGGCTGTGAAGCTATCGAAAATCCTTTTTGGGGAATTGATCCTTATCATAAATAGAGTGTTTTCCCAAGACGGCTAGGGAAAAGGTCGAGATCTGCGGGTGCCATAAATGTTGTTCAGAAGTGGTGGTGACTAGGTGTCCCGCACCATAGTATGGTAGCGAAGAGACTATGATGTGCCCATACCTCCGTGACAATGAATTGCTTTGGAAATATTTGAGATACCTCGGAAGCATAGTATGCTTCCATAACATTGCCAATGTTTCCCGGTAAGTCATTTGTTCTGTCAGTCCTGTCAGTGCTTCATCCGCCGGCTCTCGGGCAGCTAGGGTAAGTCTGAGCTTTTGAGTGAGATCTGCAGAAGCCGGAAGTGCCCAGAGACTGCAATGTGTGCTCTGAGTCTACATGCTGACTTTTTAAGTTGAAATAAGTGGTACTCTTAAGTCTCCCTCGATATCAACACTTGGAAATGAGTCTTCAGATTTACATTTAATTTACTGAGAGCTGTGACAGCCGTTTGCAGATCGATAGACCATCAATTCAGAAAACCACGTATGGTCGGAGTGGGTCGGAGTGGGTACCAGGGACGTCGGAAGAAGGTAGAGAAGTCCAGATGGTCTGATTTCTGTCTCTCGGGGACTTGAAATTACTTGTCCGACGTGGTCCGACTGTAAATGATTTTCAAAAAATGGGCCCATCAATTTGCAAATGGCTAGAATATCGCTTAGTTTACAACCCAAAGTGCACAGGTAATTCAATGTGACAGCTTCCTTGCATCACAGTGGATGACTTTCCGTAAGGAAAAATCCTAGATTTGGCCGTCCTAAACGCCATCACAGTGCCTTGTCACGGTCATTCGCACAGCCGATAGACAGAGGTGTTTCTCCTATCCGTAACGCCACAAGCCCTCAGTCACGCTATTGATGGCGGCTTACTATGTAAGGAAGGAAAGTGGCTAAACACGGAAGGTACTGATGGCAAGTATATGATGGCATGATACGCGAACGTTTACCGAGGCTAAGCGAGCCATAAGAGGCGAGCGCGAGTCTGACAGCCGCTTGCAGATCGATAGACCATCAATTCAGAAAACCACGTATAGTCGGAGTGGGTCGGAGTGGGTGCCAGGGACATCGGAGGAAGGTAGAGAAGTCCAGATGGTCCGATTTCTGTCTCTCGGGGACTTGAAATTGCTTGTCCGATGTGGTCCGACTGTAAATGATTTTCAGAAAGTGGGCCCATCGATAGGTAGCTTTACTGCGCCCCCGTGCAAACACGTACAAATATACCATATCCAGAAGAATGTCACGTGAGGCCGGCAAACGCGGGCTTCCCGCCGCGCGCGTGTCCGGCCAGTTAGAGTATCTTCAAGTCTGGACTAAGAGGGTCATATAGATGGGGCAAAATAAAATTTCATTGAAATCTAGATAGCTGTGATACATGTGGCTGACAAGGTAGATATAAAAGCCAACAGTAAGGAAAGTTAATAAACCCTAACCCTAAAAGCACAGATCAAAAAATGTGCACAGCAGGAATTGAACTCTAGACATCCAGCACTGAAGGCATGCCGCATAACCACTACACTAAAGAAGCAACGCATGTCTCACACATTAAAAGCATATGATGCCAATGTAATTGGCGTTTACTTAATACGGCTGGGTCCAGTTATTTTTAATGACGCGGCCGGAGGGGTCGGAGGTCACATGATATTCTTCTCGAAAAGGTAATATTTGGTCATGTTTACGCGGGGGCGCAATAGCAAAGACGGGCCCATCGATCTGCAAATGGCTGGAAGAGGGGGGTCGGCAGTTATACTATAGGCGTGGCGAAATAGATCTATAACTGAGTTTGAATGATATAGTTCGGACTTCGAATTGTTATACTGTATTCGGTAGGTGTTCTCACGCTTGTGGCACCGCATGCACATGCCATCCTCCAGCCTCCCTACCTTTTCACGACGCGTGCAAGCTTCCTACTGAAGCGATCCCATCCACAACTGTTTGTAAAATGAAAGAGATATATTTTGTTGGAGAATTTGTCCGAAAATGCGCTCTTTTGCCGCTTATGGTGCTATTTCACTCCCAAAATTGGGGCTGAAGAGTTATATCTGTACTGTGAGATCCGGGACACATAGCTAGGTAGGAGTACTATAGGTGGGTAAGTGACAAGTGATTCATTAAGTTTGGGATGCATAAAGTGAGCGGCGCGACAGCGCCGCCGAAAGAAAAATGATTTTGACTTCCAGGTTGCTTAATTTCTTGCGATTCACATGAGCAGTGGGATACACATAGAGGTGTCCATTCAAACTTAAAATACCACCAGGTTTTGCCTTAAGCTATCCAGAGAGTTAATACAGCGCGCAGCGCCGCAAAGCAAAATTCATGTGCTGTGGAAACCAAAGAAACTAGCCTCGAGGGATATTTCAAGCGAGGGAGATCCCTGAATATAGCACTAGTATACCCTTTCAATAATATACCCCTTCTGAAGCTCACGGGGCCCGAACGGAGTGTCTTTCCCTTCTCTTTCTCTCTCTCCTTCGATTTAATTTCTTTAATTTCTCTAATTGATCTAAAAGTCCACACCTATAGTACATAAGCCGGGGGGTCGGACCCCCTTGACAAAATAAAGTTTGCAGACAGCTTCAACTCGACGACCACCATCAAAATTGGCGAGCGTGACAAGCCGGCATCTCGGCTGATGCATTTAGAGTCGAATCTAGGATAGAAAACGACTCTAAATGCTTACGGAAAGTCATCCAGTGCTCGCAAGCAACAGGCTCTCGCTGCCGACCCCGTCAGCCTCAAGTCGTCGTCGATGTCCGAGGGTGGCATGAGGTTGGGCACGAGAGGTATGCACGCTTCGATGACCTATTTGACACGTCTTGACTTGACTGACTTTGTCTCTGCCAGCGATTTCTAGCGGCTGTGGGCGACGTCTCGTAGTCGTCGGTCATGCGCCACCCGTGACCACCAGCCCCCGGCGATGCACTCGGACGACGACCGCTCGGTCACCTTGCCTATCCGCATCGCATCGCCTACATCCTCGTCGACGGCCCACAGAAGCGTCGGACACACTAAGGGCGATTGTGCAGCCGGGTTGGAGGGATAGGACTGGGACGGGGACATGACTCGGGTACGTATGCCTCGCGACTCCCTTGATAGGCCATGGCTGACTTTGGCCTCTGCTATCAGGCATTGGCGTTGTTGCAGGACCCGATCCTATTCGGTTCCTCTGCGTGCCAACGCCGATTGCTCCTCTGTTCCGATCGCGACCTCTGCAGCAGCTTCCCGTCCTATCCCTCTGTGTCACGATGCCCTCGCCATGACTGCGACTGTCCGGCTTGGTCCTTAGCTGGTGCCGCGGCTCGCTGTTGGCCGTCCTAGCCATGGGATGGAGTATTGTAACGGGATCGGCAGAGCGCGCTGGGTGCAGTGAACGGTACCTGAACGGTTCCATTCCATCGATGCGTTGCGGGCTCATCATCGGTACTGTCACAGTTACAGCCCGCGAATATCTCCGGCGCTATCCGCTGCAAACCCCTGCCTCACCGTTGATATAGCTGCTGGGGACTTTGTGTGCGAATCGCCTCGGACTATGGCAGACGCCGCTCGATGTCCGATCTGCTCACGGACTCAAGTCCTAAATGCCCCGCTCGCGGAAGAGCCGTCATTTCCAAGGCCATACATATTATACAGAGGCTTATGGAGGCGGTCGCATCCAGCACAGTGCACTCCCCGGGCCGGGAGCCATATTTACGTCGCCATCCCGTGACGCTGCACGGTCCCGTGTACGCACTTCTGCTTCGCGTCCATACACCTTACCCGGACATAAAATGCGGGCAACGGATAGCCATACGGTGGGTACTGCACCATGCATTACCCCTGGGTCGCAGCAGCACTAGCGCTACATTCAGTCTGGGCCTCCGCGCCGAGCGGGCCCTGGGACGCCTTCAACTACGCGCCCAAGTCCAAGACCGTCTGGCCCGCCGCGATCCACCGCGTCGAAGGCACCGTCGACGGCGCAACTAACCTCGTCGACAACGAGGGACCCGCGACGCTCGCGGGCAACGGGTCTTGGCTCACGCTCGACTACGGCGTCGAGGTACGTCCACCCAGTGTCCACGAATGACACCTTCAACGCTCACGCACCCAGGTCGGCGGCCTGATATCCATCACCTTCATCAGCCCGGCGCCCTCCGCGTCCCTCGCGCTCTCCTTCACCGAGTCCCCGCTCTTCATCTCCCCGCTCACCTCCGACGACTCTTCCTACCCCGCACCGAACATGTCCTACGACGGCGTCCTGCGCGTTCCCGCGCCCCTGCCCTCCGGGTGGTGGACGCAGCCCGCGTCCGCGCTGCGCGGCGGCTTCCGCTACCTCACGCTCGTCTCCACCTCCTCCACGCCTTTAACGATATCGAATGTGTCCTGCGCGATATCGTTCATGCCGCATGTGGACGACCTGCGCGATTATGCGGGGTACTTCTATGCACAGGACTCGAGCGGGTATGAAGACCCTGATTTTTTGACGAAAGTGTGGTACGCGGGCGCGTACACTGTGCAGACGAACACGGTGCCGCTGGATACCGGGCGGGAGGTGCCCTTCGTGAGCTCGCCAGGTGCGTTCTCGAGGCTGGATGGGCCTTCGTGGCTGTGGGTAGTCATCGTGTCTGCGCAGGGTGGGCGAATAACGCGACGCTTGGGGTAGCGGGCCCCATCATCGTGGACGGCGCCAAACGCGACCGGTGCGTCCTCCCCTCTCCTCCTCCTTCCCGTCGAATTAACTCTGCCTTAGAGCAGTCTGGCCAGGTATCACTCCCCCCTCATTCCACCCCGCTTCCATATTCTAACCCTGCTCATTTCTTCATAGGTGACATGGGCATCGCCGTCCCCACCCAGTTCGTCTCCACTTACGACCTCCTCCCAACCCGTAACGCCCTCTCCACCATGTTCGCCGCCCTCGACCCGCTTACGGGCGCGCTCCCCGAGTCCGGGCCGCCGCTCTCGCAGACCGTCTCGGACACGTACCACGCGTGGACGCTCATCGGTACATATAACTACTACATGTACTCCGGGGACACGGCGTGGCTGCAAAATGTGTGGGCGAACTACACGAAGGCGGTGGGGTTCCTGGAGGGGAAGGTGGATAGCACGGGATTGATGAATGTTACGGGTTTGCGGGATTGGGCGCGCCTGGGCGGAGGCGGGCATAACGCCGAGGGGAACGCGTTGTTCTACAAGGTCTGTTCGCCTCCTCCTCTTCATGTCCTAGCTCACAAAGTCTGTGCTAGGTCCTGACCAACAGCGCGTCCCTTGCCTCCTACGCTGACGCCCCCGCCCTGTCCTCCGCCTGGTCCGCCAACGCCACTGCGCTCAAGTCTGCGTTCAACGCCGCCTTCTGGGACCCACAGCAGGGGATGTACCGCGACAACACGAGCACCACGCTCTGCCCGCAGGACGCGAACTCCATGGCGATTCTCTTTAATTTGACGACATCGGCGGAGCAGGCGGGGAGCGTGAGCAAGGGCCTCGAGCGGAATTGGAACGCGCTCGGAGCGGTCGCGCCCGAGTTGCCGGATACGATATCGCCGTTTATCGGCGGGCTTGAGGTGCGCGTGTGCATATGCATTTTGATGTAACGGAGATGTTGGTCGATGCTGATGATGGTGAATGTATGTAGCTCCAAGCGCATTTCGAGTCGGGCAACGACGCGCGCGCGATGGACCTCCTCCACCGCGAGTGGGGGTACATGCTCGCCACCAACCTGAGCGTGCAGTCCACCCTGCTGGAGGGGTTCACCGCTAACGGCTCGCTCTCGTACGTCCGCCCTCCCCCTTTTCCCCTTTCTCCCGCAGGCTAACCCTATTCACATTCCCGTACATACTACATAGTTACCGCAGCTACCGCGGCTACAACTACGACCCGTCCTACACCTCCCACGCGCACGGGTGGTCCTCCGGGCCCACCTCCGCGCTCACCTTCTACGTCCTCGGCCTGACGATCACCGCCCCGCAAGGCCGAACATGGAGCGTCGCGCCGCACCCGAGCGGGCTGCCCCGCGCGGAGGGCGGGTTCAGCACGGGCCTGGGGTGGTTCGGGGTGAAGTGGTGGGAGGGAGAGGGGGGTTTTACAGTGGAGGTGGATGTTCCGGAGGGGACGCAGGGGGTGGTGAGGCTGCCATATGCAGTGGAAGGGGGGAAGGTGTGTGTGAACGGGGTGGAGGCCCACGTGGTGGAGGGCGTTGTAAATGTTGTTGGAGGGAAGTCTACGGTGGTGCTGCAGCGGTAGGTTCACGCCAGCCTGCAAGTCCGGGGGCAACAGAGATCCGCTCAGACTTGAAGGACCTTTCTGTACGACTGATGTACATAATTATGTACAGATTCTAGACCGAATAGAATTTGGAAGGAAACATAACTTGTCATGAACGAGACATACGCTCCTTGAGAGCAAATACTAGTTGAACCGACTACTGATACAAACGCAACCAACAAAAAGCACGACAACGGCACTAGCGACGACGAATGCGATTGCGAGCGTCCAGTGATGTATGTATGTAGTAACTAGGGAATATACAAATGCCGACGGGGTATGGAGATGTTATGCGATACGTATACAGGAGTAGATGGATGGATGGATGGATGCAAGGACCAGACCTGGAGAGAGAAAGAGATATACGTAACCTTGCTGCAGCTGTATGTATAGAAGAGATGTGTGTATGCCAGTCAGTCCGTGGTGAATGTGTGCCGATGAAGAGTGCGTCGCGTCATGACGAGGGAGCCAACCAACCAAACCAACCAACAACCACACTAGATCTTGAGCTCCCTGAAGCCCCTTACATCCACGCGCCCCGTCCCGTTCTTCTTCCACTCGCCGCCCTCGTCCGCTCCATCGGCAGCGAGCTTCGGCCCCGTCGTCGTGCTCCCCGGCTTCGTCCGGTAGCGCCCCCCGGGGATGACAATCTTCCCCGCGCTGCGCGTGGTCATCCCAGGGCGAGGCTTCGGCAGCCCGAGCTTCTTGCGCTCGCGCCTGGTCAACACGGGCACGGGCACGGGCGCCGGCGGCGGCTCGGGCGACGACGCGGACGACTCGGTCGTGAACCCGCTCGCGGAGAGCGCGGGCGTGTCCTCGTCGTCGGGGTCCGGGTCCACGAGGCGCCGCACGCGCTTCTCGGACGACTGCGAGGAGCCCGAGGACGCGTCGAAGGAGCGCTTCGGCGAGCGGCGGTAGGTGTCGGAGGCGATACTCGCCTGGCTCGAGGGCGGGACGGAGGAGAGGATGGGCGAGGGGGAGCGCGAGGGCGGGAGGGGGATTTGCGAGGGCGTCGAGGGTACGGAGGTGGGGGTTTCGGATTGGAGGTGGGCGGGGATGGCGGAGAGGGATTGGGGCTGCGAAGGAGGCGCGGGCTTGGGCTTGGTCGGCGACGTGGCTGATACTGAAGCGCGCGACCGGACCTTTGATGGGGGCTTCTTCTTGGACGGTGTAGGAGGCAGTGCATCAGGTTCGTCAGCATCGGGAGGTGGTTCTTCTCGCACGCGCGGAGGGCCTGTGTGAGGACCGCGGATGTTACGGATAGACGAGAAGTGCTCCCAGTCGTAGTACCTGTAGCCACATCAGATGGGCGTAGATAGCAAGAGGAAAGAACACTTACGCTACGTATACCGTTGCATGGGAATCCTCATCCTCGTCGTTTGTGTCTTCGATCACCTGCTGCTGGATTTCTTTCTCCTTCTGCTTCCTCTCCTTCGCCTCGCGCTTCTTCTCCCGTAGTAACCGTCGTCGCTCCCGAGCGTCGAGAGCGGGATCATCAACTGAAGTGTCGGGCTCTGATGACGGACCCGACGACGGCTGAGCTGGTTCATCAAAGTCCCCGCCGGCAGCCCACTCGATGACATAGACTAAGCCAGGCTGGACGACTTTCACGTCCCGCTTCGTCATGTGCGCAAAGGCAGACAACTCCATGTGCCCGCCGTAAGTAGCTACGTTCCAACAAAGATAAGATACGTGCGAGACTCGTAAACCAGTGAAAACATACCAGGTTGGCGCATACAGCGAAGATGTGTATCCAAGCCTCGTTCGTCATCGCAAAAAGGGGCGTACCGGTCCTTGTGTGCCTCGATCCAATTGCAGACCTGCTGGCGCAGTTGAAGATGATAGGACTCAGTCCCGTAGAGCTGATCGGAGAGCGCGCGGAAGAGACAGTTGCCGTCGCCGAGGGTGTTGGCGGCGTAGAGGCCCATCGCACGCAGCTGCTGGTGCAGGTCCTGCGTGTTCTGCACGGGGTCCGATAGCAGCTACAGAACGATTCATGTTTAGTATTTTATCGCAAAACGCCAGGGAAACAGCGATCAAATGGTGGCAAACACACCTTTCCCTTGGACCTCGTTGTGCGCGATCGCACTAGTGCCAGGTCACCGCGACGGGGTCAGTGAAGCGGGATGTCCGCGCACGGCGCACACTCACTCTGCTGCGGCGCTCTCGCGCTCCGCTGGTGTCGTTTTGACGATCCCATAATGTTTAAATATCTAATGAGCAGTTGTGGCCGCCGGTGGGTGGTTGTGTGTCGGGGTTGGGAGGCGTTCTCCGGTTCCGGGGTCCCCATGGTTGAAAAGGGACCCCGACCAGCTCAGGGATAGCCCTTGGCCGAGTTGCCCGATACGGTATTCTCACTTGGTCTCACTTCTTTTTTTTTCCTTCGGCACCGTCTGGCGGTTTGGAGTCCTTTACATCGAGCTCTCGACGACCAGTCAACGTGCAAGTTATCTCAAGGATTTCTTCCGTATCATCTTGGAAGAAAGTCTGTAACAAGTGCTGCGCGCAGAGACGCATACATTACTTCACGCGGCGAGGGTATTTTTGAGACTGATCCGGCTGCATTTCAGCAATGTCCTAGTGGCTCTGTTTCGCTGTGGATTCAGAAGCAAAACTACTAGGGCATCTCTGTGCTGCAATTCGCGTCCAACTTGGTTCTCTCGTTTGTTTAAAGTGTCGCGGCATTGCAATTTCGCGGACGTGAACCAGCTTGCACAGCTTCCATGTGCGCCGAGGTCGCGCAGCATCCACACGGAAGCATTCCGAGCTTGCAGTGCCCAGCATACTGCGAGTCACGACGCCGGCGACTCCTGCTGCTTCTTGATTCCATCTGAGCATACTGCGCCTGAACGCAGCAGATTCCACTCACCGTGGAGCGGAACACAAGCCTGGTATATATAGTCCCTTCAATCCCGTGCCTCCCTGCGCATTCCCAGTTACTCAGCCACACAGCCCAGATAAAGACTTGACGCCCAAGCCAATCGCAATGGTGGTCATTACGGACGACAAGTCTATGCACCGCAACCTGCCCCCGCCGCCCCCGTACTATGCTGCTGGGCCCGTCAGCCCGCCGCCGTTCCCCAACCACTTCCCGAGGCCGAAGTTGACGCTCGCAACGCTTCCGTCGCACATCCTGCTGCAGATCGTGTATGCGACGTTCCCCAGGACCGCGGACAAAGACGAGGGGAAGCTGGAGAGGCAGCGGAAGACGCTGTACTGGCTGAGCACCAGCCTGCGCCTCGTGAACAGGGCGTTCTACATCGGTAGGTGAAGCCGCCCCAAATACGAGAGCGCCTTGATACCTATCGCTCTCCAGCATGCATGCACGTCCTCCGGTCCACCTACCTCCCCGCCTACGAGTCCCTCATCCGCCCGCCATACAGCTCCGACCCCTTTCCCTACACCGCTGCATCCACCTCTAGCTCCTCCAGCCCCGCGCAGACCCCCGTGAACGCGACCCAGCGCGAAACCGCCGTCCTCGACCAGTTCATCGCGCTCAAGGTGCGCGAGGACGTCTGGGCGGACGAGTCGGAGCTGCACATCGAGCGCGAGGACAGCTTCAAGGACCTCTTCGACCTCATGCAGCCGCGCAGCCGGCTCGAGGACCTCGTGCGGCACTACGGCGTGCGCGACGGCGTCGTGAGCGCCGACGGCGAGAAGGGGAAGGAGAAGGGGCGCGCGGTGCAGCCGCTGCCGTTCGTGGCGCTGTCGGTGTCGTTCTCCACGAGAAAGGCGGGCCTTGTGCTGAATGCGAGAGGGGGCAAGCGGACGATTGTGGAGGTGCCGCGGACGAGGGACGAGAAGCTCGAGGTCGCGGCGAAGAGGCTCGTCAGGGAGCTGCGAATTTGGTTGGAGGGGTATTCGAGGTGATGACGCGCCCGGTGAGAAGTTACTTGAACGAATGTATACTAGAGTGCTATAGGCGTACTATACTCTGCCTTGTTTCCCTAATTTATTTGGAGGACATTATAAAGATGTACTCTGCGTGATGCGTCTTTTGGCAGGCTGTCTGCTGCATTGCCAAACATTGAGGCCCTGCCTTGTCTCTTTTCTCCAGTCTGCAAGAAGAAGGGGCCCTCTCCTGAAGTCGTCACCGGTGCTTGCGGAACCTATATTGTCTACTGGCATTTTTTGCAGCTCCTGTGACCTCGCTGCACAGGTACCGTACCACATGAGATGGGTACATACTTAACCGCAATATATTATAGGCCTATATAGGAGATGGGCAGTCTGCTTACGCCGTCAGTCTACTTTTGAGTTAGACTTGCTACTCCGCAAGCTATCCAGGACATCCCCCATTATGATCTCGCCAGCCGCGCAGATGCCTGCCGACCACACCAGCAACAACGACGTGATGCAGAAGAAGCTGATCGTCTGCCCTATCTCGAGCCAAGATCCTGCAGCGCAAGTCAGTGAGTGCGGTAACCTGAGAAGGATGGAGAACGCGCCGGTGTCGGTGACGAGGAAGAAGAACGTCATTGTCATGCCTAGATATCGGTTGAGGATATTGTTAAAGAGTAGATAATTACAATGAAAGGACGACGAACCATCTGTCAGCGTTAGGGCGACCAAGAACAGAGAAAACGGAGGTAAGCCTAGACGTGCGTTGAGGGTTGCGAATGTGGCGGATAGAATCACGTAGGGCGCCACGATCTTAAAGATCTGGAAGCATATCCCATATTCAACGGCGGCGGCGGCGAATTCTCGTGATCAAGTACATACCAGAAGAGCCGCCATGAGGAAGGGTTTGAATACAGGTATTAAGCGGTATACAGGCTCGAGGTAGAAGGAGCTTGGATGACGATTTGCAAGTCAGCATCCCTCGTAGGCAGACGAGCGCCGTGTACTTACGAGACAGAAGCCACACTAGGTCAAATAGGTTAGTCTCGGTAGGAGACAAGATTTCTTGTCAAGACTTACTTGCCAGTACCGAAGAACCCAACTTGCACAAAGAACAGGAAGAACAACGCAATCCGTAGGTCATCCGCACATGGCTTATACCTCTGTACGCGGTCCGCAGCGGAATCATTGGACTTCTTGACCGAAATGTTGCCTTTCGTCCGCTTCGTCGGTGGCAGCGGCCTCAGCATGGTCTCCACTTCAATCCATAACCCCAAAGTCACCGAGTATGAGAGATAAAATAAGCCCTCGTTGCTGATCGACAGAATGACAAAACAGGGACAAAATGCAAGGAATAAGACGATAAGCTTCGATTCCGGGTTAACATACTTGATGTTGGAGAAAGCAGGGTACAGTGTCGATATGACTAGAAGCATCGAGTCAAGAAACGCCCACGAAAAATTAAACTAGCAACGCACCTAGGACACACCACCCCGCTATCTGATTTAACAGAGGCAATCCCGCCTTCGCTTGCAATCTGTACACGGAGCTCATGGCAATCATCATAGTAGCTAAGATGAGCCAAGACTAGGGATACGGAGCAGATATAAGTACGGCCCCTGACAGCGACAACGTCACCATACCTGTACTTGTACAATACCGAGCAGTGAGGTTGCTTCGGCACCTCGCGCTGGTACCGCATATCTAGCAGCAATGTTTGCCACCAAGACCATAAGCAACCCGCCGACGAGTCTGAAGGAATAGATTAATACATAGCCTGATATTGCAAGTCAATATGATATATTCACATAATCAGGAGGTTTTCCCTTTTATTCACATCTAGCAGCGGGAAGACACCCGTGGCCAGACATGACAAGGACCACAACCAGGTGAGATTTGTGTTCGACTGCCGAGCTCGAGGCCAGAGGCGCGGCCACACAAGACCCATAAGCACGAAGCCGATGCTCCATATCGACCGGACCGTGTAGGCTTTCTAGAAGATTATTGTTCAACACGAACAAGAGTATCGAGCGCAATGTGGGGACTGACCACCATGCACCCGAGTGCCGCGGCGACCAAGACACCTCGCCCAAAGTTTAGACCGGCCGCCTTGAGATCCCTCTTCTCTCGAGTCCGCGCCCATTGAAGGAACGGTTCTCGTGCTCTGTTCACAGCGGCATCCCAGAAGTAACATGGAAAGATCGCGTATAGGTAGAAACTCCACGGTGATCGTTGAATAGCAAGTACGATCCACAGAGCTAAGACGGCCGCATAGGCATTCACGGTTGGCGTCGAGCCCGCCTGACTAGGAATGAGGATGAAGGTCGCAGCATACGCCGCCCACCCGGTGTAAGCTATGACAACGAGACTACGGATGAAGGAGCGATCATAGCTGGATGATATTAGTATAGTTTGGGTACGCAGGTGCGTGGTATTTCTTACGTCTGTAGATATCTTAGTCCAGCCAATGTAGTCTGGATCATATCGAACGATTCGTGGAGGGCGCTACTGTATTGCTCGCTTCGAATGAGGCGCTCAATGTGTGAGATAGCTTTAGAACCCGGCAGTTCTTCGTTGATATCACTATCAAGAGCGGCAAATGGCTTGTAGAATAATGTGTGTTTGTGTTTGACGTCTGGAGTTGGCTGGTCAGCCTGGGTCTACTACTGCGTTGCTACCACAAACCATGCTTGACTCGATAGTGTTCCAATACAACCTACAGAAGTCAGACCGCTCCATTATAATTCAAAAGGATAGGTAAGGACATTACACTACCTTCGCATTTACCAGGGCAGCCTCAGCCTTGGCCCTACCATCATTACCAAGTTTCAAGTACCCTGCCTTACCCGGATATACATCTGGTAAAACGCCGACTGAGTTCACGGGCCAGTTTATACCCACTAATGTCGCCATGAGTGCCGCAACATCTGCTTGCTCAACGTCCTGCCTGACAATGTGGGAGAGCTTGAAGGGAGAAGTATACGTGTCTGGCTCGACCAGATCATCTTCAGGTACGTGTATAGGCCCTCGAACGCCTTTACCCCAGACAACGAGGGGTGTACGAGTATTATCAGGATCTGGTGCACAGAGATCGTTAATCCGGGGTAAACGGTATAGTCACCAGAGTAGACGTACCTCCATCACCGTGATTGCCGATTCTCGACATGCCATGGTCAGCAGTGAATACGAAGCTGGTCTCCTCATCTCCATAGAATTCGGTGAGCAGCGCCTCGGTCTGACGCACAATTGCGTCGACAACCAATATGTTATTCATGTATTCCTGCGCTACGGTTTTGTAGCAAACTTGCAAGGCCTTTTTGGGAGTATTGGCTTACTTTAGAATGAGGCCGATACGCATGCCCGGTCGTGTCTAACCCCAGAAGATGCAGGAAAAAGATGACCTTATCGGAGCGAAGCTCATGATCCAATGCAGCGTCAGTGGTAGCATTGTGCAGCAACTGTCTGAGATGGTCCAAAACCCAGGTATCCAATGCAGTGGCGTCTGTAAAGGCAAGTTTCGTATCGGAAGGAATCCGCCATGAATAGCAGATATTCCCACCTTTCGAGAAGTCTTCTTCGTGCTCCTCATAGCACCAAGCCTTTACTCTCCCGTGTGTCGCGCCCTGTTGGAACATAGGCAGGATATCCGGTGATCCAAAAGAAAAGGTGTGCGACGATTGGTTGAAGACCGAGTCGAAGTCGACCTAAGGGTATATTAGGGTTAGGGTTAGGGGCATCATGCAACGGAAAGCGACGTGATGAGTGTCGCTTTCATTCATGAAGTAATGAACGCACTGGGTTAGTCTTCCATCCCTGTATACATTGTGGTATCATACGCTTAATAATGTGAAGGCGGTTCAGGTATCCAAATCACGTACTTTGGTCACAGCGGACACGTCCTCGTACATTCCAGCTGGCAACAGCAATGACAGACAGTATAACTGAATGATCATCTAACATTGTCCGTAGTATTTACGTACCTATCAGTGCTACATGTCCCGGCCTACTCTCAGTTGGCACCCGCGTGTGTGAAACACCATATGCTCCCCTTGTCTCTATAATGGATCTCAGATACGGCGCCGTTACATTCGGTGCCCCAGGAATGAAATCAAAGGCATCTACGCCAAAGACAAGGTCGGCACGTAGTCCATCCCCTGCAAAAGGCGAATTGCCATTGTTTCAGGGAGCCCAATGCGCGCCAAGCACGTGTGTAATACCTACGATGAGGACCAAGCGCTTCGACAGCGGTCGCTCGGTGCTATAATGCTGCATTCCATGGACGACAGGGCTGGTGAAGTAGCAGTCAAAGACTGTTCCGATATACACCAAGTGGAAGACGAGCCCAGCCACAAGCAGCCATGTCACAGAGGTAGCCGATACTTTCGGAGACATTCGAATTCTGACAAAATCAGCTAACAGAATCCGTCCTCCCAAGCATAGTCCGTCTGTCGCCCGAGCAGTGGCCTCCTGTAGGGATAGCGAGTCGGAGGCGCGTTAGACTGAGACAACAGAAAGATATTAGACCTGGGAACAGTCCCTGGCAGTCGGATGCTTGGAAGTACCTTAGCCGTGCCACGTGACGCACCGCCTATTCCTGGCGTGCATTAATCCTTTCTTGCCTTTCAGTGCCTATGACGGATCCTCTCTTTGCCGTTCTGACCGCCTCAATCTGTCTTTCCATGGTACCAATTCTCCATGAAAGGATTGCATTTGTTCCGCTGATTATTTGCCGCAAATCATCGCTGCTTCATTTCCGACATGACGGTATCAAAACACTTGCCGACGACGGTGGGTGTGGGAGGGCTTGGTCACCTTCTCAGTACACTTGCGGTACACACCCGTCTCCTTTAATGAGACCGTAACCGTGCGTGAAACTGATCATGCTGTGCTAACATGACAAAGGGTTCCTTTCTCGCTTCAGTTCGTTAAAAGAGGTATTCTGTGCCCGAGTGGCATTACTTATATGGTTCTGCCACCGGTACTCCTATATAAGAATCGGGCAAGACAGCGCCCACCAGTCTGCACCCCCTGTACGTGGCATGCATGAAGCTTTGACCATCGTCGAGTTACAGAGTAGTATCATCGACTACATTCTGTCCGACGATGCCGGCGGCAGAAGTACTGTGGCTGCTCTAGCAAGGACATGCAAAGTTCTCCATGGCTCTGCAGCAAAGGCTTTGTGGCAGGACTTACCAAGTCTCGCGCCGCTACTGTACTGCATGCCGTCTGACATACTAGGGGAGAAGAAGGCTCACGACACCGTATACCTGGTATGTTATTGCTCGAGATGTGCTTAACTTCCGCTAATACGTGCTACAGGATTTCCGCAGACCCATCCAAACGGCAGACTATGCGCGGGCAAGCATCTATACGAGCCATGTCAGATCCTTGCACTTCCAATCGTCATGGAAGCGATGCAACAGCTCCCCTCTGCCATCCATATCTCCCGAAGCTTTCGCCGCTCTAGCTGCCAACATACCCGCCGACTGCTTACTTCCTAATCTCCGTTCTCTCACGTGGGATCCGCCCTACGGAGAAGATGGTCCAGCATTTCTCCTCATCGAGAAGCTGCTGACCCGAACTCTGACCTCCCTCACCCTGCGCATATTGACGAAGGCGCAGGCTGCCGCACCGCCTATCCTACAGTCTATACCACAACGTTGCCCGTGGATGCGGAGCCTCTTTATAGAATATGAGGGTACCGACCGGGCCGTCTCGGAGTCGGTCGCGCAGTGCATTTCTCAACTCCATCGACTACAAGAATGCGAGGTCTACATACCCGCCCTCAGCGTCAGTCTCAACAGCCTCGTGAAGCTACCCAACCTAAGATCACTGACGGCATGGCAATGCCCCACCCTTCCCTCTCACCCACGTTCGCGACTCCCGCGACCGACGCTACATTGTTCCCCCGGCACTTTTCCTGCCCTCCAGGAGATACATGTCCGCACGGAGCACATTACGGCATGTACGACACTCGCACGGCTTATCAGCTCCAAGCAAATCAGGTCCATCACGTTCACGTACAGCGAGTGGGCACCTGCGTCCCTTCTCGAGGACTGCACGAGAGCAATCAGCAGTCAGTGCGATTCCGCATCTCTCACGTCCCTATCCATCGCGTTTGACAGAGAGGCCGGAACCCCGTACGGCATCTCGGACGCTGTCGTAGACGAAACAGTGCTCAGGCCGCTGTTGGTCTTTTCCAGCTTGGAGGCACTCGAACTGGACCCCCACTGTTCATTCGCTATTGACGACAGACTCGTCGAAGACTTGTCCACCCACTGGCCGCGCCTACGGTCGCTGGAGCTAATTCCGAAGAAGCCCATGGCCAACGCGTCTAGGCTGACGCTGCAAGGACTTATCCCGCTCGTCAAGAACTGTCCCGACCTGAAGACCCTATGCGTTCCGCTGGAAGATTTCGTGATGACTCCTTCGCTGGAACCGGCCTCGACGATTTTCAACGAGAAAGTCACCAGTCTAGCTATTATGAGCACCGCCGTCGAGAACCTGGCCGCTGCGATCCTGTTCCTCGTGTACCTGTTCCCCAACCTCCGGGCGATCGACAATTGGGCAGAGGATGAAGATGAGGAGAGTCTCGGTCCCTGGAGGACAATCGAGACTTTGGTTAGAGATATCAACTCAGCTTTCCCGAAAGAGACGCAAGGACATGAAGGGCGTTTCACCCAGAGTCAGCTGAGGTGCTTGATGCGGAAGTGGCTGAAGGAATTCGGGCTTTAAGTTATACTATCTCGCCGCACCTTACAATAATTCAGACATTCTATAATCTGTATATTGCTGTTAATTTATACGTATACCCTGCTCTAGGATTAGAAAATCCGGAAAGCGATTGACCTCAGGGGTTACGGGATGTTAAGAAGTGTGCCGCGATGGCCACACTAACACTTTCTGAGGATTTGCATTGAGCAAGCCGGTGTCGATAGACGCATGCTTGTCTCGCCGACATGCGTGATGATAGATGGCATAGTAGAACACGAAAAATACGCACGACAACACGGCACGCCACATAATCCTAACATACAGCCGCCCTCCTACTTCTTTTTCTTCGGTTTCTTCTTCTTTACACCTCCACCCGCCGGTGTCCCTGGAGCAGAGGCCCCAGCCACGGGCGTACCACCTCTCGCGGGCTCAGTGGTGTCTATCTGCATGGGTGTACCCGCTGGGGCCGGACGGCGGTTCTGCATCTTCTGCATGAGCGACAGGTTCAGGGCCTCGAATCGATTGAGAAAGATGGAAGAGTAGGTCTTAAATTTGAGACACTTCGGATCAGGGTTAGCTACCGTGTACATCCAAGCCACGACACGAACGCACCGTAACATTATCCGTGATTTTCAAGACCAGCTTGCCCTCCAATGCCCTCCATTTTACGACATATCGAGTCTACGCTTGGCGAGTCAGTCTTGGCATCGAGACAAGGAAACATAGCCATATATAAAGCTACTCACCGTGTTCGGCGACTTTGCGTACAGAGCCTCTGCCGCCTCTTGATATTCCTGCCAGGAGGAAATGTAGACCATGGCGGCATCGAGGCAAGTCCGGACTGGACGTACATATGATCGCGGCGCACAAACGCCGATATCGGCCGGGGCGCGGTACCCCACACTCTGTCTAGAGTTCCATTCCGGCCGTAAAAGCGTCGGCGCTGCTCTCTGTCTCTTTCTTGTCTGTTGTACTCACTCGCTCCTTGTACGATATGTCGAACGTGCAGAAGAAACGTAGGCTGCGCCTGCTCTGTGGACACTGGTTGAGCTCTAACATTGCATTGGCGCTACTTCGATAGCTTTGCCTTTCATCTATAACTTCACAGCGGGAGCCATTGCTGGTATCTCGGAGATTCTAACTTTTTATCCACTCGGTAACGTGCAAGAGATATTTGCTTCAGCATAGTAAATGTCTAACCCTGATTCCACATTTTAGATGTTGTGAGTATGCACTCACGCGACCCATGCCTTGAGGACCGGAGGAGCTAATTATATCATGCCATGGCAATGTTCAGGTCAAAACGCGAATGCAACTGGAGACGGGAAAGAGCAAGCATGGGTTGATCGGGAGTTTTAGGACTATTATCGCTGAGGAAGGGTATGTCCCGTCATGCTACCATCTCTCGGGATCCGAGATGACGTCCCGTCTGTAGTTTCGGAAGGCTGTATCGAGGTAAAGTTTGGAAACATTGTGAACGAGGGCTGCAACTGATATTCCTTGTACAGGGCTGGTCCCCCCTCTGATGCTCGAAGCACCCAAGCGTGCTACGAAGTTGTAAGTATGAGACCTACAATGGACAGCCTGGGGGAAACTTGAATGACGGTTACAGCGCAGCCAATGACTTCTGGGGCAAGACCTTCCTGAACTTTTCCGGGAAGGGCAAGATGGACCAGCAACTTTCCATCTTGACCGGATGCGCGGCCGGTGCGACCGAAAGTTTCGTCGTGGTGCCGTTCGAGCTGGTGAAAATCAAGTCTGCATCTCAACCTACCTCATAACCACCGTGTTTGCGTTTACTCACATACAACTGAGCAAAGGCTGCAGGACAAAGCCAGCAAATTCGCTGGACCGTGGGACTGTTTAAAGTCGATCGTTGCGAAGAATGGTGTCCTGGGGCTCTACTCGGGCATGGAAGCAACGTTCTGGAGGTAACCGCTAATCCTCCACCTCTGCTTACGACAAAGTTGAACATGTCACAAGGCATCTGTGGTGGAACGGAGGATATTTTGGCTCCATCTTCCAAGTGCGAGCATTGTTGCCGCCTGCTGAGGTACGTTGCGCTGAACAAATCTACGCCCGTTCACTCTGAGCATCGAAGGCGCTCGCCAGTCACCCCAAGGGCAGCTATTGAATAACTTCATTTCTGGGACAGTTGGTGGATGCATTGGTACTATGCTGAATACTCCGTGAGTCCGCATGCACACATACAAATTGTGGATGTGTGATAAACGGAAGAGTGCTCCAGGTTCGATGTAAGTTTTGGATTATTCGCATCTTCAGGCTTCACAGGTTCACCAGGAAAACGTATTATCATAGGTCGTTAAATCACGTATACAAGGAGCAGAGCGCCTACCAGGCGTCACTCCCAAGTACAATTGGACTTACCCCGCGTGAGCAACCTCCGACCTTGAGGCTGAGACGAGACGTCACTGAACCCTTCTTACTACAGACTGATAACGATCTTCCGTGAGGAAGGCCCAGCAGCGCTGTACAAGGGCTTTGTGCCGAAGGTCCTGCGGTTGGCACCCGGGGGAGGAGTGCTCTTGCTGGTAGTAGAGTTCACGCTCGGGTTGTTCAGGAAAGGTACGGTGACGCGCCATTTTCATGGGCTGCTTGTGATTGACTGACTGACTGGATGACCAGCTCTTGGGCCTCCATATATCTAGCGTGTGATAGAAATAGAACACATATACACAGCTCTGTATTTGGTGCCACTTGACGAGGCAGTGTTAGGTGGGCACTATTTACTGTAGGAACGAAGTGCGTACATAGCCTCTGTTTATTTGCTGTCCGCTTAGCTTCCCAGCTTGCGGTAAGCGTAACGCTACACCTGATATTCATCCATGTGCTGTGGCGCGAACGCAGCATGATATCCCGATTCTCCGTGGAATTCATTGATCCAATGCTGTGGCGCTAGTGCTTTGTCCCCGCTTGGGAGCAGGGTGGCATAGCAAAAAGACGGGTATAATTGAGGGCGCATCAACCGAGAGCGCAAATCCGTCTGAACTACCCATGGAACTCCCGCACGAACTCTGGTACGAGATACTGCAGCGTGTACTAGCCGACAGCATCCACTCTGTCAGTACACTGGCGGAGGAAGCGACGCCACAATGGGATATGGACGTCGTTGGGATCCTGTCCTCGGTGTCGGGGATGTTCAGGGCAATTGCGATCGATCTTTCCGTGAAGGTACTGGCGGTCTCCCCCTATTCGGATCCGGACCTGTGAGTCACCTTTCTCTTCAACTATCCTCGGATATTGCGGCTGACGGAGAACGCCACAGCAATCCCGCGGAAGCGGCTAGACACGCAATGCAGTACCTTCGCTGCCTTGCGAAGCAGACCTCGGATGTCGGGGAGGAGGAAACGCGCGTTTGGTCTAGAATGCCCGCGATGACCACGTCGCCACTCCTTCAAGGGTACACACTATATCTGAACGCTGTGGCGCTGCGGCGGAAGTACCGCTATTCTCAACGGAAACAGCCAAGAGAGGGTGGGCCTTCTGCGTACTGCAATTCGTCGCCGTCACAACGCGCAGACGTTGACGACTTGGTGGTCAGTTGCGTTGGTGAATATATCAACAAAAAAAGCTTGAGGACGCTGCAGATCGCATTGGAGAAAAGCAGGCTCGTAGCCCCGAACGCTATGGCGGGTCTCCTTGATGAGGTGGTGCGGGAGGAGATCAAGCGGATCAATATGGAAGTGGACTGACTCGGCCATGCTGCGATTGGTGTGATTTCCGTTCGGACTATGTATAGGCAGCTTCTATGGGAGACGGCTGGTATATCCTACTTGTTGCGTCAATATCTCATCGCGCCCTTTCCGGGTGGATGTTTTCGCCATGTATCACGAGTGTACATGCAAAGCAACATTCGACACTGCCAACGGACTCCCATGCATCGACGTGCAGTTCATTCTGCAGCTCTTTTCTAAATGAATTTAATAAAGCAAGTAGAAGAGAGGTATTAGGCGTACGGCAAACCTTAGGGCGCGATCTTCTCGATTTTAGACTGGAGTACTGGAGGCCCATGTTACGGTGGCTTGACGATGACAGCAGTCCGGCGGGGCCGCACCCTTGCCGCCCGCTTATGGCACAGCCACTCCTTCCATACTGTACCGCCACTTGTAAGTACAACGGACTTCGGAGACGTCTTTCCTTTGTCAACTCCGAAAATTCGATGGCTTTCGTTTTATCCCTCCTTTCATTCCCCCTGCCTGGCAGATCTTTTACGAAGAGAATACGTTCAGCAAAGTCATCATATACATATATTCGTAAGGCCCTGCTCCTGGGAAACGGAGGTGTTCGTATCAAGCCTGAGGATTCCTTTGACAGTTGCGGGACCGCTACCTAACGACGTCAGAGTTGGGCGCGATCCCGGCTTGCTTTCGGCAGCGATGATCTGTCGTACTGCTCTCCATATTGATGCGCACTCTCTAATAAAACGAGGCACTGTTCTTAGTGGACTATTCACAGCCGGCTTCAGCATCCAAGTACGGTCAACAACTGCTGTGAGCTTCCATAAATATCGAACTTCGATGCGGAGTATTGCATTGTGTGTATCCGCGTATACTCAGTGGCGGTCCTGGATTCTTCTTTCAACGGATGCCGCTGGGCCAAAGGCTGTCTCAGGCGGTATGTCTCAGTTCCAACCCAGGTAGAGAAAAGTCGGGCGGATGGTTCGAATTCGGACTTTGGTCTGAATTGCAGTACACAAGGCACGTTGTGTATCGGGCATGAGGGTTCTATGTGGCTATCTCGCGCATGAATGCCAGTACCATATCAGGCAGACACGTTAATACGTCTCGTCATGATTCGATGTGATTGCTATTGATCTAGATCACAGGCTCGCTTTGTCTCTATTCTGGCAAGGACCCCACAGCAACGTATATTAACTCTTCTATCCAGGGAATGCGGTCTGTTGCATATAAGGGCTGGGAACAATATCCCTTCTCCCCATTCACCATCCCTCCCACTCGCTGACCAGATCTCCAATATCTATCTACGATGCTGCTCCCGTCGTCCTCATCTACTATTGATCATACCTACCGCCGAGGTGGCCCCGGTGAGCGGCGCTCTCCTTGTCCAGCGCTCAACACGATGGCGAACTATGGGTACATGTGAGCAATCCCCCTCTCATCACCTCCCCTTCGTCTAATCGTACGTACTTTGTCGCAGACCACGAGACGGCATGAACATTAAATTCTGGCCCCTCATCCACGCTCTACGCGAGTTCTACAATCTCTCTCTCCCGCTCGCCCTCTTCCTCGCCATCCCCGGCTACCTACTGTGCGGCTCCATCCTACACATGTCGCTCAACCTCGACGACCTCGCACTGCATGACCGCCTCGAGCACGACGCCTCGCTCGTGCACGCGGACGCGGCTCCCGGCGCCGCGTGCGCTCCTACCAACGTGGATCCCGGGCTCCTCCACGCGTTCATTACGTCGTGCCCCGCGGGGCGTGGCTTTCGCCTCGAAGACTTCGCGAAGGCGCGGATCGCGCGAGAGAAGACGCTCGGGGGGAGGCAACTCAACGCGTTCCACGCGGAGATCGCACGCGGCGAGTCCGCGCTGTCGTGGCTTCTGATGAAGGATGAGAGCGGGGAGGCCCCGCCGGGGAGGCTGGAGCAGTGGTACGGGGAGGAGAGGGTTCCCGATGGGTGGAGTAAGCCCGAGCGCAGGCTGGGCTTGATCACGACGAGGCATACTGCGGTTAAAGTTCAGCATCTCATTGCGTCCATGAGTCAGTCTGGGGTCGTGCAGGACATTCCAATGAAACGGTGACTTGTTCTGCTATTAAGCAGTGCTTCGTTCCATGGGCCTGTCTATTTTAGTACCCTTCTATTCTATTTTATCCACTTATTGTATCCAGACTAGAGTACGTTGCTGCACCGCTACGTGCGGCCACTTACTCGTCTTCCCTATTCCTTTGCGACTACCGTATCTATACCGTAGTATACGTGTAATTCCGTAGGCAACGTTTAATTCTGGGTGTCTCGGTAGCATTGCGATCATGTTCTCTCGTACGCGGGTACCCATCATCCAGATCAGCAATCTCTTGACTTGGTGCTCATCGGCACAAGCCAGCGTCCAAGGCGCTGCATTCGCTGACATCCGGTGAATACGCTCACCCTGTTGCGACCTTCCGCTTTCCCGAGTTGAGCAGTAAACAGTATCTGTTGGCCTGAAAAAGCCGTAATCGTTAACGAGGCGGTTTCTAGCTGAGCCTTATAAGATGGCGGGTATCCAACTACGCAACGCATTATTAGCTCTCATTCTACGTCCGCATCTCCTACTTCGCGCCCTTAATCTCTCTGGCCTGAACCATGAGAAGGCGGTATGATGTGGCCAGACTCAGTCGGGCAAAGGCGTCCGCCTGCTGCCAGCGGAGTTAGTCGAATGAACGTGGTGCTCGACGAACATTGCGATAGGTCTAGTAAGCCGGCACGATCAATACCAGAATGGACGTACGAATAGCAGATATCGCTGTCTTCAGGACGCCGAGAAACATAGAAGGACTCGAAGTACTACTTCAAGATCAGGCATCCCCTGCTTCGCATGGCAGCTGAAGCGATTAATTCAGCAGTTATAGCAACGGTATTGTGGATGTACAATCAAAGATAACTTGGACCACCGCTCGATGTGTGGGACTTACCATGACAGCTTGGGACTTCCCGAAGTCCACAGGACCTTCTCTTCGCTAGTACAACATATGAGTAGTACTAGTGCGGCAGGACCCCTGTAGATGTCTACACCTGTGTAAAACCGCTCACTTTCGAATACTATAGGCTGGGCGTGCTTCCGCAATGTCGCGGAGATGGAGCGGCGAGGAAGCCATGAAGCCTGTCGATATGAACTCCGCGGTGAATTGAACCCTGTGGTCTATGAAAGATGAGTTAAACTCGGGACTAATACTAAAAGCGCGAGAGCGGTACTTACTACTCGGGATCGCTATGCCCGGCGCAAGCCTCACAGAGGGTATATAGTACGGGCAGTCCAGAATTCTGCAGCATGCCCTGAGCTTGTCAATGGGTAGTGCGGCCTTCAGGTATGACATTTACACCTAGCTCGCGAGGCCTCAGCCACCCAACAATCCCTTCTTCAGCTTGTCTTCCGCAGCCACATCATATTTGAATGCAGGTCGGTCATGAACCCCCTTCTGGGAGTACTCGTCGGGTGCCAGGGAGTTTCTGTACCATATGGAGTCTATTAATGAAATTCCGACCTCAGGCCTGCGACATTCCGCCGCTCCTCTCGGCCGCGGACTTGATATGAGGCAGTGGATGACTCAGGTCCCAACATTCTCTTACCCATGTCATACAGACACGTCTGCCATATGTAACACGCAGTGAACGGTGCCTTTTGTGCTGGCATGGGATGCCGCTACCGCAGACGAGGAAGGGAGTGAGTCCGGCGCACCATAAATACACACACATGATAGGTTATAATTACGGTACCCTATAACTTGAAAGAGCCAACACAGCCGTTGATATTGTTGAACTTGACAGAAGGGAGGCGATTGTATTTTGGACCATTTGGTATACTAGAATTGCTGCTGGCAGATATATGCAGGTATGGATGTGGCGAATTTGGGCGGAAGTCAGCGACGAGTAACGACCGACGAACGTAACGTATCTGGCGAGATCGAACCTGTGTACTTTGCGGTGGATCTGAAGTAAGGAAGGCTAGATACACTGGAGTCTACTATTCTATAACGAGATCCATTACATTACTTACGTACCATTCTCAATTTCTCATGAGCATGAATCGTATCAGGCATTACTACTAGTGTACTCTTGAGTCCAGCACATCCCGACAGGACGGGTACTACCACCCATCATACTCATACAGGAGATGCACATCCCAAGGAGGTGGCGGCGGACACTTTGAAAGCCGCACTGATACTCTCTCCGGCACCATACATACCTGAGCCATACTGTGAGTCGTTCACGACAAATCACCCGGGACTGACTACTCACCAAGACACGCCATAGCGAGGGCCCCAAGGAACAGGCAGAAATTGAAGATCTTGTAGTACCATCGGCCCGAGAAGAGCCCTCGTTTCCAGCGGGAAAGCTCATACCAGGAATCGCCGGGATCGTCAACCGTCGCGTCGACGAGCACCATGTAGCCGACAAGGAAGAGCGGTGGGAACGTGTACGTGAACTGCATGATGCAGACTGCCGCGACCAGCGCAGAGATATTTTGCACTTGGGGAATAGCAGATCCCACGATGAAAGCTAAGGATAACGATAGAGATTGATTACTACAGTGAATGTCGTGAGGGAAGATACATACCAAGACTCCAGTAAAGGAACACCATGATCATCCAGATAAACCGGCCTCGCTTGCTCATGAGGGGGGGTCCCCGCATCCACTCTTCTACAATATGCATATACGCGACCTCTGCAAATAACATCCGAGAACATCAGTACTCTCCCCAGTCCAGCATATCGGATACTGACTAATGCCAATGTTTCCGTACAGTCCAGCGGCAATGATGCCGGAGATGAGGGCCAACACGTTGCCTACAGTTTGCCACGAATATTTACTGACTCCTTGATACGCAAGTGGGAGTGTATACTGTCCCTGGAAGGCGTAGACATAAATGCCGTACATCATGTACACGGTAGCAATCAGGAGCTGCGCGCAGCACTGGACAGAGGACAGTCAAACGATCAGAGACTTGCAGCACGAGCTAAAATGCCAGACATACCATAGCCTTCCAAAAGTCCATTGGTCGGCGCATTTCAGCCATGAACTCGGGGAAGATCATGGCGCCACCGTACGCGAACACCATTTGCATGATACCGTTAACCTTGGAGTATATCGGCTGGTTCACAATAACCGAGGTATGGACCGGGCCTGACGCTACTTCGGGCCCATATGAGCTCACGGCCGAAGCGTAGTTCGGCGGTGAATGTGCGATGAAACCCATGGAGATGAAGATGATCAGGAGGTTAATCCATATAGCCCTGGGGAAGGAGACGGATCAGGTACCGCGGGACAGGCTGCTTGGAATGATACTGACATGTTGGCTAGCCAGCCGTAATTCTTCAAGGACCTGATTTGACCTGCGACCATGCCGACTAGTGCCCATATCAGGATCATAATGGAGAAGCAGAACTCGTTGTGGATGGCGATCTGGGCCACAGATTGACCGTTGGACAATAGGATAGTCCCGACCTAGAGCATTTGACGATGTAGGTTAGATCTTCATATCCCACGCCTCACTTACGCTGATACTTACGTTAATGATCAACTGAAGGGTCTGTAGCACTGTGCAGAAATGTTTGAACCACCTGCCGAATATACGTTCGGCGATATCTGAGTAGGTCCTAATCGGATACTGCTCTGAGTCCAGGCGGCAGAACAGGCGCCATAGAATGAGACCCGTATAGCAGGCGACACCACCCACTACAGGGAACGAAGTATCAGTGCACGTCGCCGATAAAACCGATCACGATATGTAGAAGGAGGGACACGCACTGACGACGTATAGAATAACTCCGGGAGCGTATCCGACCTGACTGAAGGCAAAGGGCGCGTTGAAGGGTCCGAGAATATCCGTGGTGATGAGGTAGAAAACGGACAACCAGCTCGCTGTACGGAGGGCACGCCGAGCATTCAGCAGTTCCTGCTGATGGGGAGAGACGGTCCTCCCCTTCTCCGTAGGCGTCTCGCTGTTCATTTCTGTCAAGGAGTGACGCCTTGTAGTCGACAAACAGAGCCGTACCCTCTCTCATATTCACCGCTGGCTTCACGAGCTCGAGCCTGGTCAGCGAGCGTGAGATAAGTCTGAAAGGAGACTTTCCCCGACTCCTCTGTGGATTTCATTCAAGGCCCATATCGAGTAGTCCGATGGCACAACACTTACCGTACGGATGTTCGGAAACATCGAGCGAGGGGGGCTTCGCAAGGCCCTCTCCAGCAATTGTCGCTGGTACTGCATAAGAGGCCATGGTGGTCGTGTAAGCGTGCAATTATCCGGAGGGTGTTGGGAGTTTATAATCCACAGCCATGACGGAGGGTACGGCTTCTCAGGATAAAAATATCGTTTGATGAAGCTCAGGCTGTCTTGCGTCTTCGTCCATTACACCCAGAAAGGTGACGCTACGGTGCCTTATCAGAGTTCAGGCCATCAGGTATCTCCACCTCAGCATCTGAGCATACCGCTATCCTGATTGAGAGAGCTTGACCGCTCTCGGAGTGCCCGCGGTAGATATGTTTCTGTCAAGGTAGAACGTATGTCCCAAGCAGCGGACAAACCTATCAGTGGCTGAAAGTTTGATGGAGAATCCTATATATACGTGCAAGGAGCACATGCACGAGTCGATCGAGGGCACAGCGCGCCCACGTCCTACGCCAGGGATCCAGAAGTTTTCTTGCCGTTGACTATGTCGGACAGATCTCACCCATTACAGTCGACTCTGTCTTAACCCATACCTGTCATAACCCATAACCTGTAATAACCCATAGGTTTTTGGCTTCCACCGACATGGTAGATAGTAAAAACCCATAAGTCTGCCGTATCCCATAACCCATAGCTTTCTGAAGGGTCATAACCCATAAAACAACCTATATTAGGAAGGTACAGGTCTCCTTCTCACGAGAGTCTGGACCATCTGGACCCTTAATTTTTGGTTCTCATGGTATTTCAGAAGATAACCCATACCAGACTCAAGATTTCGTATCTAAACGGTGTCATAAACGACGTCCGGCCTATACCGGATAGGCTGTCTGTCACGCGTACTAGGTAGTCACACAATGTCACACGTTCTGGTAACCCATAGTCTGCAGAAACCCATAACTTTTGGGTTCCACGACCCGTTATGGGTTAAGACAGAGTCGACTGTAGCTGTCTCAGCGCAGTTACCGCAGCACTAGACTGGACGCCGTCGTAAGCGCATGTCGCAAGTGTCAATCGAGTTACCTTTCAATTTGCTTCTGTCAGCTTCTCATCATCGTGTCATCGGAACACTGTCATCCTCAGGCGAACGGGACCTAAATGTTTGCCACATCGTAACAGTAGTATACTACAGCGAAATCTTTGGACTCTGCGCGGCGCAGCCTGAGCTGATCGCCCTGAAGACTTGCTTAGCTTGCAATACATTTGAACGGTACCGAAGGCACCTACTATCGGGATTCGTCCGACCTTCATCCAGTCAGAATGCATATCGTTCATACCTAGAACCAGCCTTCTCCTTCCACCTTTTCCGCTTGTTCTGCGGCCGATCGACGATGTTACCCCTGTAGACGTGAATACAAGTAAATACAGGTATGTACCTGCTCGATTAGCCTGATACCTTTCGTCCTCTCAGCCTGGATGTCAATCCAGGACACAATTATAGGTTACATGGGATTCCCGCGCCTTCCTGAGATTGAACCTATTATTGCTATCAGGCTAGGACTGATGACATTGAGTTTCACCGCTGGTATGATAAAGGGGGGCCCAGAATCAACCGTTCCACTTGTAATTAGTGCCATAATCACGACCGGTCGCGCGTTTTACGATGGGTCCTTGAATAATCGAACGAGCAGCCAGCGCGTCTTTGGGCGCGGTAATTATTGCCACACGGTCACGTGAGTGCTACGTCATACTGCGGAGGATCGTGTCCTGAGCCAGTGTTCGGCGTCCTCTGGCCTTC